CAGATGCCTGAACTGTAAAGGAGCTCATAAGGCCTCCGACCCAGCATGCCCCGAGAGAGCCAAACGCCGATTCCTCAATAAAGGGAAGGAAAATGCCCCATCCGCTCAAGACCCACCGGCCGCACCCGTCCAAGAAATAGTTCAAGTGCCAGCCACCGCCCCAGTCGGAGCCACACCCGTTCCCGAAGATGACCAACCCATGACAAATAATGCTTAGGTCTCGAACCACCGCGCTCGCACACCAACTCAATTGTGCACGGAGCGAACCTGTTACCAAGGCGGCGGTAGAAGAAGCGGAAACAGACTCTAGTATTTATTTCCTATTATTACAAGAACCATGGACCTCAGCAGAGGGATACCCACCAGAATCAAATCTCTTTTATATTTTTACAGCCAGCAATACCAATACAAAATGCGCAACATACGTCCGCAAACATGCCAACCTCAAACCAAAACACCACTACACACACGATAATTTCATAGTATCGATTACGGTAGAAATCCAGAACAAGAAAACCCAAATCCTAAACATATACTCCCCAGGCCGAAGTGGCCCCTTTGCCCAAATAGCAAGTACAATCCAAACCCTTGATAATTGTCTAGTAATGGGAGACTTCAACTGCCACCATCAAATGTGGTACGGAGTAAATTCACATGAATACAGAAACAACATTCGAGCAGACCGGGTCAACGGCGCACGGTTAAAACGATGGATAACCCGACAGAAACTGACCCTCCTGAACGAACCAGGCGTGTTTACGCACTTCCCCAGAGACAGAGGGAAAAGGCCCACAACCATCGACCTTGCATTTGTAAAAGGCCCAATACTCGACGACAACCTACGATGGAGTACTGAACCCTACGGAGCGGGCTCAGACCACGGGAGAACCTCCGTCCACTTACACCTGGAAAAACCACCTTTTGTACCAAGACGAATGTGGCGACAAACGGACTGGAAGCTATTGGAGAACCACATGTCAAACATCTCCATCCCTGCAGAGGCATGGGAAACCAAGGAACATACGGAACAAACTGTCGATTTCTTCCTAGAACTGGTTAGGTCAACAGTCAGCATAGTAACACCACTCTCGAAGGAGGGGGTAAGAGCCAACTCCTGGTGGTCAGATGAGATGAAACAGATGAAGGCAAGGGTAAACACAGCAGAAAGGAAGGCGAGAAATACAAGGAAATCCAATCACGTGGAGGAACACCGGAAGGCTTGCAGAGAATGGACAGCCATGATCCGGAAAGCAAAAGCGGATCAGCGGGAAAAGACGATGAACGAGGCGAAAGGTAGTGAAGTTTGGAGAATCCTAAACGTAGGAAGAAGAAGAGACACAATCATACCAACCATACAAGGTGAAGAAACGTTTGCGGGGAAGTGTCAAGCTCTAAGAGCCCAACTTTTCCCCTCGAAACGGACGTCCCCCGACCACCCCCCCTTAAACATTAGACCCCCTTCTTTTGACCTTAGCAACACCTTCGACATAGTCACCCCCGAAGAACTTAATAAAGGAATCGACTCCTGCCCAGCGCACTCGGCGACCGGCCCGGATGGCATTCCTTACACCTTTATTAAAGCAATAGTCAAAGCAAACACAACTCTAATCCAAGACATGTTCTCCGCCATGCTCTGGCACGGTGTACACCCAGCGGAATGGAAAATAGCTAAGTGTATCCCGATCCCGAAACCCGGTAAAGCAAACTATCATGAAGCAAAAGCCTACCGGCCCATTTCCCTTCTACAATGTTTCAGCAAAATCCTGGAAAAGATAGTGGCCCAAAGACTCTGCACCGCTGGAGAAATTCTAGGCACACTCTCAGCGAATCAATTTGGAGGAAGACCAACCATCTCGGCAATCGATGCCCTGCTGAGAACCTTAACGCCAATACAACAAAATCTACTACTGAAAAACAGTACCGGAGCCGCTCGGCGAGACAGACCAGCGATCCTAACCAACGACATCCAAGGAGCATTCAATTGTGTCGATCACCTACTCCTCGCGGAAATCATGCAACAACAAAAATTCCCTACCTACTTAACAGAATGGTGCAAGGAATTCAATACCGGCAGAAAACTAGAGTTCCAATTTAACCATGAGCTAGAGGAACCACAGCCCTATGATTCTGGAGTGCCGCAAGGTAGCCCCATGTCCCCGGTACTATTTATGATTTATGCTGGAGTAATCCTGGACCCAACAAGTAGCTCGAAAGAGATGGACACCACATATATCGATGACGATGCGCTGGTGCAAATATCCAAAACACCAGGCTTCACAATCAAGAGAATGGAGGAACGAATGAGAGAGAGATTAATAAAAGCTGAGCCACTCCAAATTAAGTACGACCCGGATAAATCCGACCTGATCTTCTTCCGGCCCACCACATCATCCAAACAACAACCACGACTTCCGGTCAAAATTAACAATACCAACATACACCCCAAGGAGAGGCTGAAATATGTAGGAGTCTGGATAGATCCGACCCTCTCCTTCCGGCCCCACATCGAAGCAGCGATCGCAAAAGGCCTTAAAGCCCTCCACCAGATTCGATACACCGCCCGCCTGCCAGGAATAATGGTTAAAACAATCCATCACATCATAACACAAGGCTTCCTCCCAAGTCTACTCTACGGATCCGAGGCTTGGTGGACTGGCGCAGACCACATTATAAGATCCCTTGAACCACTATATAATGAAGCGGCCCGGATCATCACCGGCCTACCACGATGGACCAAAAGAACTAAACTCCTCCGAGAAGCAGGCCTACCCCCCTTAGAACACCTCCTGACATATCGCTCAAGAAAGTACGGAACTAGAATACTCTGTACCGACGCAACCCACCCCAACAACGAATCCCTGATCGAGCTCCTCCCATACAAAGAAGCAAACATCAAAGGAACAGGCCTACACCGAATCGCCTCCCTACTACTCCCATACCAGACCCCCGGAAATGCGAGAGATAAGTGGAACCAAAACAAGCTACTACGCGACCACCTGTTGGAAGAATGGAACACACAATCAATACCGAACTACCATCATCGGGGGGATTTCCGCCCCCCTCCTAAGATAGCGAAACTTACCCTTACGGAAGCAAAGAAAGTATTTCGAATCCGGTGCCAAACTACCCGAATCGACAAACACGCAGTACACACAGACCCCGAAACATGCCAGTGTGGTATGGAAAACTCAGCGAAACACATACTTATGGAATGCCCAGCGTGGGCTCGAATCCGCACCCCTCTGATAGAAAAGACCCCCGGAGCGATGACCTGGGAAAACTGGATGTTTACAAACCTGAGAACGGACCTCATCCTACAATTTGCGAAACAATCTCAACTCTCGAAATGGTACGAGTCGGCGGAGGCGGAGGCGGACCTGGACGAGGGGATGGAAGAAAATGATTAGGGACGGGATTAGGAAGGATAGTTTCCTTTTACTCTTTGAATTTGGTTTTTATTTTTGTCTTGATGGATCCAGCGCTCGAGTCCGCTGAGATATGTTATTTCTCCTTGTCGTTGGGTTTTCTGGTCGAGAGTTGTGCTGGAATTTCCTTGTTATTGTTCGTGTTCGCTTGTGCTTGTTTTGTTCTTGTTCTTGTTCCTGTTTTTGTTCGTTTGCGTTTGTGTTTTGTTGTTTTCTTTCCTTCTTTCTTTTGTTCGGTTCGGTTCGTGTTTTAGGCGGTTGGGTCGGCGTGCGATAAGTCTTGTACTTCAAAGCAATATAAGTTTCTTCTTCTTCTTCTTCTGTATTTATTCTACGAATACTATTCTTTGTCCGCACTACGTCATAGGGCTCCAACCGGTTTATCATACTAGGTAGAGCCACCCCATAGTCCATAGTCAAAGTATACCTTTACGTCTACGTCCACGTCTACGTCACTACCTAGGTTGTATTCCTTGGCATCACAGTCTATCGCTTACGGTGTAACGGGGGTCTCTTCTAAGAGAAATAGAATAAAGTAGAATAGAGACGGCCGTACAGATAATCTTTAAGGCTCAAGCCACCTTCAGATTATTCTTCCTCTATACAAAATGTCCGCCCTCCCGGCTCCAGATGCACCCCTTCAGATTGAATGGCAGCCGGTGCCCCTCCAGCTTGATGCCACCGGGCAGACACAGCTTGTCAAGAAACCCAGGACCGCTCTACAGACCTACATTCCCGGTTGTGAGCCTGCCTGGCAGGATACCGACGAGATTTCCATCCAACAGTTCTTTACAGAGCTCCAGACCTACCTCCAGCACAGCCTGCAGAATCAGTTGACCCGGGGCAGTCAGGCACTACTCCTGGTACAAGAGCGCCAGGCAGCACAGAATGCTCTGATGGCAGAAGCTCTTGAATACATGAGGCATGAAGTCAACTCTGTCCAGGAAGAACTCCGAAAGTATGAGGAGAGAGATGAACTGGAAGCCGATGCCATGGAGATTGAGTGGACAAATCCGGCAACTCCACCAGACTTTGTTGCCGAGATTCAGAAAGCCCTTGATGAAGGAAGGCTAGTGGTAGGGAGGCCAGCAACTCCGGCACTAAATCCAGGCTCCAGGCCCTCGTCCAGGGCAGCCACCAGGACAATGCAGCGGAAGACCAGTCCCTTCGCAGCATTTCCGGTCAGATCCACTAGAAGAGTTGTGCCTATTGTCCAGCCAGCGGTGGGAGCATCTCCCTTACCTCCTAGCCGCTTTGCAGGAGTAAACCCATTCCTCGGATTAGCGGACCGATCCTTTGACTTTGAGGGAGAACACTACCCAGGTGCAGGCCGAGGACCTCCCAGCCCGCTAGCCAGGAACCCAGGAAGGTTCACCATGTCTGGGGCCGCTCAACCAGCAGCAACCTCACCACTGGCCAGCAATCCGGTGCCGGTAGCACCTGTGGCCCCTCCTGCTGTGGCCGCCGCTCCCCCTCCAGCTCAGGCACAGGGAGGAAGTGGTGGAAATCAGAACCCTCCACCTCCAGTAGCCCGCGCTCCCGCTCCTGGAGATTCAGACAGTTCTGACAGCTCAGACCTCGGAACCAGAAGGTGGTGACAGAAGAGGCTGGCGGAAATATCTTAAGAAGAAGTTGGAGAAGCAACAAAAGGATTTGTTTGCTATGATGTCACAGCAGTACCGACCTTCGGCCGCCTCTCCCCCTTCTACTTCTACTAGGGCCCGAGAACCAAAGGCACCACCACCCTCCAAGTTCCAGGGCAAGGCAGAGCAAGTGGAAACTTTCATCCGGCAATGTGAGAATGTGTTCTCCATTGAGAGCCTGTCATTCACCTCTGAGGAAGTTAAGATCCGATATGCAGGCAACTTAATGGAAGGAGAGGCAGCGATCCGATGGTATGAGGCATACCACAATTCAATTGATCAATCCTCTGCCAACCGTCTTGCTGGAATGCCGGTGACTTTGGATCAGAGATGGAAGCGCTGGGATTCCTTTGTGGATGCTTTTAGAGCAGCCTTCGGTGAAGCCATCTCTAGAGATGATGCTGTAACCCAATGGAATACCCTTACCCACACAGCCCGAAGAGGAATTGATCTCTTCCTGAATACTATTATTCAGCTGATGTGGAAGACTGGCTATGAGGGTCAGTTGGTGGATGATAAGATCAACAATTCCCTCCTTGCGGACCTAGGCATGAGTTGGGCTCTTTTCAATCCCAAGCCAAAGTCCCTGATGGAGCGAATAGCTGCTCTAAGAGAGTTGGGGCACACCCATGAAAGGTACCAAGGGATGGCAGCTGAGAAAGCACCCCCTCGGACCAAGAAAGATCCTCCCGCTCAAAAGGACCAGCAGCCTAAGAGGAAAAGAGAAGCTGTGAGCTCCTCCGGACCTCAGAAGACTCCTGTACCTAAGGATAAAGCGGTGGAACTGAAGGGTATCGCGGGGGATATTCTATAAGAAAGAAGGAAAGCAGAAGTATGCTTGAAGGTATGACCTTTCGGTACTCCCTATTGGTAGAGTGCATAGACTGACTTGTGCAATAGTGCGGCAAGTCCAGACACAAATGGACCGATTGTTGGTCCAAGGAACCTATTGTTGTCCGAGTGGCAGCAGTGAGAGTACAAAAGCGGAAAAGAGGGAATGGCAAGTCCAACTCCCAGAAAAAGGCTAAGGTGGCTGCTGTAGTAGCAGAAGATCCACTTGTTGTACTCCCGGAGGTTACAGAAGATTTTGTTTTTCAGCCTGAGCAAGACTCGGACAATGAAATCATCTGGTAGAAAAGTGTCTGTCTGAGTCTATGTTTACTAGTTTTCTTTTATATGGGTTTTGGCTTCTATGTTTCTCTTGAATAAATTATGATTGTGTTTCCGCCTATTTGATTGCTCCAAGCACTCTGAGGATGGGTTTAAGACCCGAAACAGCTGGTCTGTCAGTGCTCTACCAAAGTTATATTTGCTACCAAGACACTTCCAAACCGCTGCCAAAAAGACTACTACACAATACATCTGCTATATTACCGCTTGGGAATAGAACCAAAGGATCTTTGATCTTAGTAGTGCCCGAAGCTATTAGCTATGTTGAAAAGACAAAGGGAACCAAGTCCGGAAACCGCTGTTAAGCAGAGAAAGTTGGAACAGAGGCTTCCCTCCTTACCAGTACATGGAAAAAGACCTATACTGAAGGCAAGACTGTCATGGACGGTCAAAGGAAAGGATGAAGGCGCCCAAGGGTCTTTCCTGTTCGACACCGGTTGTACAGGAGCTATCCTCAATCAGAGTTTTGTCAGGAAACATGGAATTCCCTTAGTGCGGCGGGATCAACCTCTAACAATGTTTGATGCTCAAGGAGATGTCATGATGGGAGGAGGTGAGTATTACACTCACCCAGTCCACATGACTATGGGAGATCATAAGGAGACACTCCGATGGGAGGTGGCTACGCTGGAAGAAGGAATGACCGGTTACCTCCCAATTAGTTGGGCTAGGAAGCATAACCCGGATATCAATTGGGAACTCAACACCATGAGCTGGAGGAGTGACTACTGCAAGCAGAATTGTCTCCCAGCGGCCACCAAGATTGAACTAGTCTCTCCATACCTGATGTTGGAAGAAGAAGAGACAGTCTATCAATTGGTTGGTTCAGTATGGCATGATGAGGACGGAGGTGATATTGCTGAAAAAATACACAACCTCTACCGGGAATGGGCTGATGTGTTCAGTCAAGAGAAGATTGAGGAAATGCCGCCGCATTCCCATAATGATCTAAAGATCAAACTCTTGCCTGGCACCGCTCCCCCATTTGGCCCGCTGTACCCATGTTCCGCTCCAGAGTTGAAGGCCCTCCGAGAGTACCTGGACAAAGAATTGTCTTCAGGAAAGATCTCTAGATCTAACAGCCCTGCCGCAGCGCCCATACTGTTCATTCCTAAGAAGGATGGGACATTGCGGATTTGTGTGGACTACAGAGGATTGAACAAGGTCACTGTCAAGGACAAGTACCCACTGCCTATCATGAGTGAGCTCAGAGACAGGTTGTTCAAGGCCAAGATCTTCACAAAGATAGACCTGAAGAACGGCTTCAATTTGATCAGGATAGCAGAAGGTGATGAGTGGAAAACCGCTTTCAGAACCCGCTATGGACTGTATCAGTATAATGTGATGCCATTTGGTCTATGCAATGCTCCCTCCGCTTTTCAGGCAATGATCAATGATGTTATAAAGGAACTACTGGATGAAGGAGTAGTTGTCTATATTGATGACATCCTCATCTACTCGGAGACTGAGAAAGAACATGAGCTATTGGTCAAAAAGGTACTACAGAAGCTTAGGGAAGCTAAGCTCTGTGCCTCGATCAGTAAGACATCCTTCCATGTCCGAGAAGTAGAATACCTAGGCTATCACATCTCGGAAGATGGAGTATCTATGTCAGAGGACAAGGTGGAGGCAGTTAAGGAATGGCCGCTCCCTGAGAATATCAAGGCAGTATAGGCATTCCTCGGATTTGCAAACTTCTATCGTCGCTTTATTGAAGGCTTCAGTAAAGTTTGCAAACCATTAACTGACCTCCTGCAAAAAGACAAGAAATGGTATTGGACGGCAGTACATGAGCAGGCCTTTGAAGAACTCAAGAGGCTGTTCACAAGCGCTCCAATCCTCCTTCATTTTGACCTTAGTAGGAGAACAGTGGTCGAGACAGATGCCAGTGATTTTGCCAAGGGAGCGGTGCTCTCTCAGTATGGGGATGATGGGAAGCTACATCCGGTGGCATTCTATTCTAAGAAGTTCTCCCCTGCTGAGATCAACTATGACATTCATGATAAGGAAATGGGAGCTATTGTAGCCTCTTTCCGGGAATGGAAACACATGCTCAAATCTTGTGAGCAAGAGATCACGGTTTTTACAGACCACAAGAACTTGGAGTACTTTAATTCTACCAAGGTTCTCACTAGGCGGCAAGCTAGATGGTCTGAAGACCTCGCAGGCTACAATTTTAAAGTTGTCTACAAACCGAGAGAAAAGAATGGCAAGACTGATGTGCTATCTAGGCGCTGGGATCACCGCCTTGGAGAGGGAGGTGAAACTCTGCAGCCGGAGCCACAGATCTTTTTCAGGCCAGGTCAATTGGTTTTGGATCCTGCAAAGCTAGCGGCTGTCAGGGTGAATCAATTGCAGAATACATTCTTGGAGCGCCTATATGCGGCTGCTAAAGAGGATAGTTTCTGGCAGGAACTGCACCGCTCTCTGGTTGAAAGGAAACCAAATTTGGACCAGAACTTGTCGGTCAAGAACGGTCTCATCTTCTATAAGAATAGATGGTATATACCCAAAGACAAGAAGCTTCAGATGGAAATACTGTCCGATACCCATGACTCTAAGGTGGTGTTACGGGCATGCCAAGCATTTACGGGAGTGAGAGAAAGGCTAGTAGATACCCCTATACCCTTTAATACTAATGGCAACACCACTATCAACTCCGGTTCGCACCTACGAGGTACGGTGCGATCAATATGCGACCAAATGTGGAGTTGCGGTTTTCCTAGTTAAAAAACACGTTTTCGACCCCAATAATAACCCCCGCAGCGTCAAACCGCCGGAGGGGAGTGTTTTGGTACCGGTGGATATATGAGGGACAGCTAGAATCAATCGGATCGAAGATCGGACCGCTCGGAGCGAATCGGCGCAAGCTGCCAGCCGGCCGAGTACCTATCGGCGGTACCTGTGGGCATGAGAGGACTCTGCTATGTGGGAAAGCGATGTGGGAAGAGGCCTGAGTAGGTAGCCTTGCCGTCCGAGACCTTCGAAATAGCCGACGCTGACGATTATCCACCAGACGGCCGATGGAGAAAAAACATCGACAGGGAAACGTGCATTAGAATGGGTAAATAGGTTGAGGGGTTTCTGCAGGTTTAGGAGTTTGGGTTACGGACTTAGGAGTTAAATGTTCTTGGTTGTTTTTCAGGGTCTCGGGCATGCCCCGAGTGTATTCTGTATTATTAGTAGACTGGGTCCTCGAGACATAAGCGAGGGATATAAATACTGTGTCATTCACTGACTAGCCAAACCATCATCGGCGAAATCAGAGTCTTAACAATATAAATCGTTGATACGCGAGTTACAACTTTATTTGACTATACTTTTGGAAATACTTTATTCTATCGTGACTTCGAACTCTACCTGAACTACTACGTCGAAGACGGTCGAACATCAAACGCTAACTCTAGTGAATCTTTGTTGATAACGTAGCTCGCGGGGCCCGTATCGGATCAAGGAGATTCATACTCGACGTTGACTGAAGAGACCTTGGAGACTTCTACCTTTGTAGCTGTTAGCCGAACTCTGAGCTCTGCGTAGTGTACTCTTGTGGTCTGGTACGCATCCCTCACAGGTGGCGGGTCACTTTGGCCAATTTAAGACACTTGAGCGGGTGAAAAACAACTTCTTTTGGCCCAACATGGATAAGGATGTTGAGGAATATGTCCGGAGCTGTGACAGCTGCCAGAGGAATAAGACCTCAAGACATAAGAAGTTTGGTATGCTCCAACCGTTGGAGATGCCCTATCGGCCATGGACTTCCATCTCTATGGACTTCATTGTGGGATTACCGGAATCTAGTGGGTTTACAAAGATCTGGGTAATAGTGGACCGCTTTTCGAAGATGGCACACTACATCCCTCTTCCTACCCTCAATAAAACGGAAGATTTGGCTAAGTTGTTCTTGAAGGAAGTTTGGAGACTCCATGGTTTACCTGATGACATAGTCTCGGACAGAGATAGCAGGTTCATTTCTCACTTTTGGCAATCTCTCATGAGTCTCCTCAATGTGAAGCTGAAGATGTAACGGGGGTCTCTTCTAAGAGGAATAGAATAAAGTAGAATAGAGACGGCCGTGCAAGATAGACAATCAGGTTGCAGATTATTCAAAGATACTATCGCTAGAACTCAATAATCTTTAAGGGCTCTGCTACTGATAAGAACTTGGTTTTTCTTCTGATGAAGACTGGAGAGAACAGGACTGAAGGGCGAGAATGAACCTGAGTACTTATACTCCGAAAGGCCTCTTTTCTCTGCTCCTAACTCCTTACTAAGTTCCGGTGGGCCTTCCCTCAGTACCAGAAACAATACCACCGCTACCCCGCTTTTCTCTAAGCGTCAGCAGGTGTTTCCGATACCCAAGGCAACCACCCTTAGTCAAAGCCTTTGTAACACCTGCAGCCTTGGTTGCCACACAACCGAGGACCTGCATGAATGAGCTGCCGCTCAGGTGTAAGCTTAATCATTGCTGTAGAGCTTTCGCTTATTGTAGACTTCCCTAGCATAGTTCCTGCCTCTTCGGCGGTCGTTCAATGGTCAGAGGATACAGAGGATCACCGGACAATCAGAGCTTCACTCTGGCCGGTCTTCTAGTCACTGGCGAGGCATAGACTCGTCAGTCATTGCTCCCATGAATAGATCCTCTTCCTAGCGCCCGGAATGTAGTTACTCTAACAGCTGGTAGCTAACCACACTGCCGGTACTTGCATATCACCGTGCAACTGGCTTCTAACAATAACTCTCAGCATGTAACCGGGCCCTGTGTGTACTCATACACCAGACAGTTGAAATGGCTCCGTTACACCACCCCCCTCTTCCAGGATCTTGGTCTCCGAGATCTATAACCATTCTATTACCATCCATTCTATATGACAAGAAACTCCGTGATATACAAGGAAATGAAAACCCAAAAGGAAATAGTCTATACCCCAACAATCCGCTTGTCCTTGGGTTTCTTAGGATACCTCATATGGAAATCCCGAAGGGCTTCTTCAGCACTCTTCTTGAGATGCTCCCAAGGTTCCCATGTAGCATCCTCGTTTTCATAACCTTCCCACAGCACTAGGTATTCCACTCGTCTCCTTTTCTTATTGACCCGGCTATCAGCTACCTCTCGGACAACCCAGTTCTGTTCTCCTTCAATCTCTTCGGGCTCCGGTACAGGAACTCTTCTCTCAGGATCTACCGGTGCTCTGTAAGGTTCCAGAAGAGAGACATGAAAGACCGGGTGGATTCCCATTTGGGGGGGAAGAGAGAGCTTGTAGGCACGGGTACCAATAGCTTCTAAGACCTTAAAGGGTCCCATCTTCTTCTGATCCAGTTTTCCCAAAGGCCGCTTTGTTTGCACATTGCGCCGGTCTAACATAAATTCATCTCCGGGCTTGATTTCAGGCGGTGCCAGGGCATGAGCATCATACCACCGGGCCATCCTTAATCTAGCTTTACCCAAGCTGGCGTTCATAGCCTGCCAGATAGATTCCCATTGAGATATCATGACCTCGCTCGCTGGATTGTTCCATTCTACTCCTTCCTTTGGGGCCGGCCAGTTGGTCCTGGGTTCATATCCATAGTTGGCATAAAAAGCCGATACTTTGGTAGACTCAGAGACCGCCGAGTTATATGCATACTGTAACGGGGGTCTCTTCTAAGAGAAAATAGAATAAGATAGAATAGAGACGGCCGTGCAAGATAGACAATCAGGTTGCAGATTATTCAAAGATACTATCGCTAGAACTCAATAATCTTTAAGGGCTCTGCTACCGATAAGAACTTCGTTTTTCTTCCTGATGAAGACTGGAGAGAATAGGACTGAAGGGCGGGAATGAACCTGAGTACTTATACTCCGAAGGCCTCTGTTCTCTGCTCCTAACTCCTTTACTAAGTTCTGGTGGGCCTTCCCTCAGTACCGGAAACAATACCACCGCTACCCCGCTTTTCTCTAAGCGTCAGCAGGTGTTTCCGATACCCAAGGCAACCACCCTTAGTCAAAGCCTTTGTAACACCTGCAGCCTTGGTTGCCACACAACTGAGGACCTGCATGAATGAGCTGCCGCTCAGGTGTAAGCTTAATCATTGCTGTAGAGCTTTCGCTTATTGTAGACTTCCCTAGCATAGTCCCTGCCCTTCGGCGGACTTACAATGCACCGAGGATACAGAGGATCACCGGTCAATCAGAGCTTCACTCTGGCCGGTCTTCTAGTCACTGGCGAGGCATAGACTCGTCAGTCATTGCTCCCATGAATAGATCCTCTTCCTAGCGCCCGGAATGTAGTTACTCTAACAGCTGGTAGCTAACCACACTGCCGGTACTTGCATATCACCGTGCAACTGGCTTCTAGCAATAACTCTCAGCATGTAACCGGGCCCTGTATGTACTCATACACCAGACAGTTGAAATGGCTCCGTTACACCACTCCCCTCTTCCAGGATCTTGGTCTCCGAGATCTATAACCATTCTATTACCATTCTATATGACAAGAAACTCCGTGATATGCAAGGAAATGAAAACCCAAAGGAAATAATCTACACCCCAACAATCCGCTTGTCCTTGGGTTTCTTAGGATACCTCATATGGAAATCCCGAAGGGCTTCTTCAGCACTCTTCTTGAGATGCTCCCAAGGTTCCCATGTAGCATCCTCGTTCTCATAACCTTCCCACAGCACTAGATATTCCACTCGTCTTCTCTTCTTATTGACCCGGCTATCAGCTACCTCTCGGACAACCCAGTTCTGTTCTCCCTCAACCTCTTCGGGTTCCGGTGGGGGAACTCTTCTCTCAGGATCTACCGGTGCTCTGTAGGGTTCTAGGAGAGAGACATGAAAGACCGGGTGGATTCCCATCTGGGGGGGAAGAGAGAGCTTGTAGGCACGGGTACCAATAGCTTCTAAGACCTTAAAGGGTCCCATCTTCTTCTGATCCAATTTTCCCAAAGGCCGCTTTGTTTGCACATTGCGCCGGTCCAACATAACTTCATCTCCGGGCTTGATTTCAGGTGGTGCCAGGGCATGAGCATCATACCACCGGGCCATCCTTAATCTAGCTTTACCCAAGCTGGCGTTCATAGCCTGCCAGATAGATTCCCATTGAGAAATCATGACCTCACTTGCTGGATTGTTCCATTCTACTCCTTCCTTTGGGGCCGGCCAGTTGGTCCTGGGTTCATATCCATAGTTGGCATAAAAAGCCGATACTTTGGTAGACTCAGAGACCGCCGAGTTATAAGCATACTCTGCCAAAGGCAAGAGTTCTGCCCAGTCATCCTGTTGATATGAACAATAACTCCGCAAGTAATGTTCCAGGGTCTGATTAACTCTTTCTGTTTGACCGTCCGTCTGGGGGTGGAAAGATGTGGACATCTTCAGCTTCACATTGAGGAGGCTCATGAGAGATTGCCAAAAGTGAGAAATGAACCTGCTATCTCTGTCCGAGACTATGTCATCAGGCAAACCATGGAGTCTCCAAACTTCCTTCAAGAACAATTTAGCCAAATCTTCCGTTTTATTGAGGGTAGGAAGAGGGATGTAGTGTGCCATCTTCGAAAAGCGGTCCACTATTACCCAGATCTTTGTAAACCCACTAGATTCCGGTAGTCCCACAATGAAGTCCATAGAGATGGAAGTCCATGGCCGATAGGGTATCTCCAACGGTTGGAGCATACCAAACTTCTTGTGTCTTGAGGTCTTATTCCTCTGGCAGCTGTCACAGCTCCGGACATATTCCTCAACATCCTTATCCATGTTGGGCCAAAAGAAGTTATTTTTCACCCGCTCTAGTGTCTTAAATTGGCCAAAATGACCAGCCACCTTAGAGTCATGGGTATCGGACAGTATTTCCATCTGAAGCTTCTTGTCCTTGGGTATGTACCATCTATTCTTGTAGAAGATGAGACCGTTCTTGACCGACAAGTTCTGGTCCAAATTTGGTTTCCTTTCAACCAGGGAGCGGTGCAATTCCTGCCAGAAACTATCCTCTTTAGCAGCTGTGTATAGGCGCTCTAAGAATGTATTCCGCAATTGATTCACCCTGACAGCCACTAGCTTTGCAGAATCCAAAACCAATTGACCTGGCCTAAAAAAGATCTGTGGCTCCGGCTGCAGAGTTTCACCTCCCTCTCCAAGGCGGTGATCCCAGCGCCTAGATAGCACATCAGTCTTGCCATTCTTTTCTCCCGGTCTGTAGACAACTTTAAAATTGTAGCCTGCGAGGTCCTCAGACCATCTAGCTTGCCGCCTAGTGAGAACCTTGGTAGAATTAAAGTACTCCAAGTTCTTGTGGTCTGTAAAAACCGTGATCTCTTGCTCACAAGATTTGAGCATGTGTTCCCATTCCCGGAAAGAGGCTACAATAGCTCCCATTTCCTTATCATGAATGTCATAGTTGATCTCAGCAGGGGAGAACTTCTTAGAATAGAATGCCACCGGATGTAGCTTCCCATCATCCCCATACTGAGAGAGCACCGCTCCCTTGGCAAAATCACTGGCATCTGTCTCGACCACCGTTCTCCTACTAGGGTCAAAATGAAGGAGGATTGGAGCGCTTGTGAACAGCCTCTTGAGTTCTTCAAAGGCCTGCTCATGTGCTGCTGTCCAATACCATTTCTTGTCTTTTTGCAGGAGGTCAGTTAGTGGTTTGCAAACCTTACTGAAGCCTTCAATAAAGCGGCGATAGAAGTTTGCAAATCCGAGGAATGCCTGTACTGCCTTGATATTCTCAGGGACCGGCCATTCCTTAACTGCCTCCACCTTGTCTTCTGACATAGATACTCCTTGTTCCGAGATATGATAGCCTAGGTATTCTACTTCTCGGACATGGAAGGATGTCTTATTGATCGAGGCACAGAGCTTAGCTTCCCTAAGCTTCTGTAGTACCTTCTTGACCAATAGCTCATGCTCTTTCTCAGTCTCCGAGTAGATGAGGATGTCATCGATATAGACAACTACTCCTTCATCCAGTAGTTCCTTTAGCACATCATTGATCATTGCCTGGAAAGCGGAGGGAGCATTGCATAGGCCAAATGGCATCACATTGTACTGATACAGTCCATAGCGGGTTCTGAAAGCGGTTTTCCACTCATCACCTTCGGCTATCCTGATCAAATTGAAGCCATTCTTCAGGTCTATCTTTGTGAAGATCTTGGCCTTGAACAACCTGTCTCTGAGCTCACTCATGATAGGCAGCGGGTACTTGTCCTTGACAGTGACCTTGTTCAAACCTCTATAATCCACACAAATCCGCAAAGTCCCGTCCTTCTTGGGAATGAACAGTATGGGTGCCGCAGCAGGGCTATTCGATCTAGAGATCTTTCCTGAAGACAACTCTTTGTCCAGGTACTCTCGGAGGGCCTTCAACTCTGGAGCGGAGCATGGGTATAGCGGGCCAAATGGGGGAGCGGTCCCAGGCAAGAGTTTGATCTTCAGATCATTATGGGAATGCGGCGGCATTTCCTCAATCTTCTCTTGACTGAACACATCAGCCCAATCCCGGTATAGGTGGTGTATTTTCTCAGCAATATCACCTCCGTCCTCATCATGCCATACTGAACCAACCAATTGATAGACCGTCTCTTCTTCTTCCAACATCAGGTATGGAGAGACTAGTTCAATCTTGGTGGCCGCTGGGAGACAATTCTGCTTGCAGTAGTCACTCCTCCAGCTCATGGTGTTGAGTTCCCAATTGATGTCCGGGTTATGCTTCCTAGCCCAACTAATTGGCAGGTAACCGGTCATTCCTTCTTCCAGAGTAGCCACCTCCCATCGGAGTGTCTCTTTATGATCTCCCATAGTCATGCGGACCGGGTGAGTGTAATACTCGCCTCCTCCCATCATGACATCTCCTTGAGCATCAAACATTGTCAGAGGTTGATCCCGCCGCACTAAGGGAATTCCATGTTTCCTGACAAAACTCTGGTTGAGGATAGCTCCTGTACAACCGGTGTCAAACAGAAAAGACCCTTGGGCGCCTTCATCCTTTCCTTTGACCGTCCATGACAGTCCTGCCTTTAGTATAGGTCTTTTTCCATGTACTGGTAAGGAGGGAAGCCTCTGTTCCAACCTTCTTTGCTTAACAGCGGGTTCTGAACTTGTTTCTCTTTGTCTTTTCAACATAGCTAATAGCTTCGGGCACTACTAAGATCAGAGATCCTTTGGTTCTATTCCCAAGCGGTAATATAGCAGATATATTGTGTAGTAGTCTTTTTAACAGCGGTTTGGAAGTGTCTTGGTAGCAAAATATAACTTTGGTAGAGCACTGACAGACCAGCTGTTTCGGGTCTTAAACCCATCCTCAGAGTGCTTGGAGCAATCAAATAGGCGGAAACACAATCATAATTTATTCAAGAGAAACATAGAAACCAAAACCCCATATAAAAGAAAACTAGTAAACATAGACTAAAACAGACACTTTTTCTACCAGATGATTTCATTGTCCGAGTCTTGCTCAGGCTGAAAAACAAAATCTTCTGTAACCTCCGGGAGTACAACAAGTGGATCTTCTGCTACTACAGCAGCCACTTTAGCCTTCTTCTGAGAGTTGGATTTGCCATTCCCTCTTTTCCGTTTTTGTACTCTCACTGCTGCCACTCGGACAACAGTAGGTTCTTTGGACCAACAATCGGTCCATTTGTGTCTGGACTTGCCGCACTATTGCACAAGTCAGTCTATGCACTCTACCAATAGGGAGTACCGGAAGGTCATACCTTCAAGCATACTTCTGCTTTCCTTCTTTCTTCTAGAATATCCCCCGGGATACCCTTCAGTTCCACCGCTTTGTCTTTAGGTCCTGGAGTCTTCTGAGGTCCGGAGGAGCTCGCAGCTTCTCTTTTCCTCTTAGGCTGCTGGTCCTTCTGAGCGGGAGGATCTTTCTTGGTCCGAGGGTGCGCTTTCTCAGCTGCCATCCCTTGGTACCTCTCATGGGTATGCCCTAACTCTCTTAGAGCAGCTATCCGCTCCATCAAGGACTTTGGCTTGGGGTTGAAAAGAGCCCAACTCATGCCTAGGTCCGGGAGGAGGGAGTTATGGATCTTATCATCCACCAACTGACCCTCATAGCCAGTCTTCCACATCAGCTGAATAATAGTATTCAGGAAGAGGTCTATTCCTCCTCGAGCTGTGTGGGTGAGGGTATTCCATTGGGCTACAGCATCATCTCTAGAGATGGCTTCACCGAAGGCAGCTCTAAAAGCATCCACAAAGGAATCCCAGCGCTTCCATCTCTGATCCAACTGCACCGGTATTCCAGCAAGGCGGTTGGCGGAGGCTTGATCAATTGAATTGTGGTATGCCTCATACCATCGGATCGCTGCCTCCCCTTCCATCAAGTTGCCTGCATATCGGATCTTAACCTCCTCAGAGGTAAATGACAGGCTCTCAATGGAGAACACATTCTCACATTGCCGGATGAAGGTTTCCACTTGCTCCGCCTTGCCTTGGAACTTTGATGGTGGTGGTGCCTTTGGTTCCCGGGCTCTGGTGGAAGTAGAAGGGTGGGAGGTAGCCGGAGGTTGATACTGCTGGGACATCATTGCCAACAGATTCTTCTGTTGCTTCTCCAACTTCTTCTTAAGGTATCTCCGCCATCCTCTCCTGTTACCACCTTCTGGTTCCGAGTCTGAGCTGTCAGAACTGTCTGAATCCCCAGGAGCGGGGGCGCGGGCCACGGGAGGTGGAGGGTTCTGATTTCCACCACTTCCACCCTGTGCATTGGCTGGAGGGTTCTGGCTTCCACCGCTTCCACCCTGTGCATTGGCTGGAGGGGGAGCGGTGGCCGCAGCAGAAGAGGCCACAGGTGCTACTGGTGCCGGATTGCTGGCCAGTGGTGAGGTTGCTGCTGGTTGAGCGGCCCCAGACATGGTGAACCTTCCTGGGTTCCTGGCTAGCGGACTGGGAGGTCCTCGGCCGGTACCTGAGAAGAACTCTCCTTCATAGTCAAAGGATCGGTCAGCTCCTCCAAGGAGTGGGTGTGTTCCACCGAAGCGGCTAGGTGGTAAGGGTGAAGCCCCCACCGCTGGCTGCACAATAGGGATAACTCTCCTAGTGGATCGGACCGGAAATGCTGCGAAGGGACTGGTCTTCCGCTGCATTGTTCTGGTGGCTGCCCTGGACGAGGACCTAGAGCCTGGATTTGGTGCCGGAGTTGCTGGTCTACCCACCACCAGTCTTCCTTCATCAAGGGCTCTCTGTATCTCGGCAACAAAGTCTGGTGGAGTAGCCGGGTTTGTCCACTCAATCTCCATGGCATCGGCATTCAGCTCATCCCTCTCCACATACTTCCGAAGTTCTTCCTGAACAGAGTTGACCTCCCTCCTCATGTACTCAAGAGCCTCTGCCATCAGAGCATTCTGTGCTGCCTGGCGCTCTTGTACAATGAGTAGGGCCTGACTGCCCCGGGTCAACTGATTCTGCAGGCTGTGTTGGAGGTAGGTCTGGAGCTCTGTGAAGAACTGTTGGGCGGAGATCTCATCGGTATCCTGCCAGGCAGGCTCACAGCCAGGAATGTAGGTCTGTAGAGCGGTCCTGGGTTTTTTGACAAGCTGTGTCTGCCCGGTGGCATCCAGTTGGAGGTGTAACGGGGACTGAGGACGTAGGAACTATGAAGCCAAGGAATACAACCGAGGCGAAGACGTGGACGTAGGAGGTTCGTAGACTATGGACTATGGACTATGGGGCCGAAGGGTACACCTAAGGCAAGAACGGGGACTGTGGACTATAGACTATGGATGGTTGTACCTGGTCTAGTATACCGGGTAAACCCTGTGACGTAGCGCGAACCAAATAGTATTCGTAACTGTGAAGTACAGAGGTTGCATAAAGAGAAAAGAGAAAGAAAGAGAAACAAGAAATCACGAGACAACGCCCCCCCTTATATATCCATACCCTATCCCAATGCTGACTCATACCCTCGCGTAACAGAAACAGAAAGAACATAATAGAAACCCGCTTTACTAAACCCAACCACACTGCATTATCCTTCTCCCTTATACCCAGACAACTCACATAGCCAACCCGTCTAGCTGCCGTTACAGACCACTCCCCCCTCTAAAGCCTACCTCCTGGTAGGCTTAGGCTTCTGTGGATATCGTTCGTGAAATCGTTTAACAATATCGGGCGAATGTTCGACATCCGACAATGGCTGCCACGAAGCTTCATCATAACCGACATACTTAACCAAGTATTCAAATCTTCCCCGATGATCCCTGGAATTTAAAATATCCTCGACTTCCCACTCCTCCTGTCCTTCAACTTCAACCGGCGGTGGTGGTAACTGTTGTTGTCCTGGTAAAGGATCGTTTGCTGCAGACGACAGTAAAGAGACATGGAATATGGGATGAACTTTCATAGAACGAGGGAGTTCCAACTCATAGGCATAAGGACTAACGATCCGCTTCACGACATATGGTCCAATGCGTTTCCAATCAAGTTTCTTCGAGGGTCGTTTGGTGAGGACATGGCGGGTCGATAGAAAAACTTTATCCCCCATCCGATAGTGAGGCGCTGGAGTCCGACTTATATTGGCCGACTCCTCTTGAATCCTTTGCGCTCGGAACAATTCAGCTCGTAAAACGTCTAGTATATCCTTCATCTCTCGTGCAATGGTATTCGCTTGGTCTTCCGCTGTCGTCCTACCATGTTCCAAAGGACCAAAAGTCATTCTTGGATTCCTTCCTGAGTTGGCGTAAAATGGAGAGATTCTCGTTGTTTCAGAAGCATGGTTATTTGTTGCAAACTCGGCCATTGGCAACCATCGAACCCAGTCGTCCTGTTGATAAGAAACATAACTTCGAAGGTATTGTTCCATCACAGCATTGATCCTTTCCGTTTGTCCATCCGTCTGGGGGTGAAACGCTGTAGAGAACTTTGGCGATATTTCCAAACGATCGCAAAGGGACCTCCAGAATTCCGCAACAAATTGTGTTCCTCGATCAGATACCATAGTTTCAGGTAACCCATGTAACTTCCAAACATTGTCAATATACAGTCTCGCTACTTCCCTTGAGTCCGCCTCCTTTGTTGTTGGTATTAGGTGTCGCATCTTAGTTAACCTATCCACCACGACCAAGATTGCATTGTATCCATCGCTCTCTGGGAGGTCGGTAACAAAGTCCATTGACACATCCGTCCATGGTCCATCGGGTATTGGCATCGGCCGGAGTACTCCATAGGGTGCATTGCGTGGCACCTTGCTACGGGCACACACATTGCAGTTCCGAACATACTGATCGATATACTTCCGCATTTGTGGCCAGTAATACTCTCGATTCAGGAGTTCCAAAGTCTTCGCTCTGCCTGGATGACCTGCCGATGGTTTGTCATGATACTCTTTTAGAAGTCTTAGCCGAAGATCATTGTCGTCGGGTACATAGAGTACACCACGGTAAAGTAGCCGACCGTTGTTGTCTTCCGTACATTCGGCAAGCGAGATCTTATTCGAGTGACGGATGCCGTTCCGAAGCATCGCGAGTACTTTGTTCGGGAAACTGTCAACTTGGTAAGCATTTAAAAACAACTCTTCTACAGTGGACATTCCTTCAGCGGATTCATTTGAAAAAGAACCCGCGAACAAACTTAGCTTTAAATCCAAATTTTTTCGCTTCAAAACCACCTGGCTTTGATGCATCAACCGTTCATCCCCCTCCTTAGGTAGGTCACCCGACCTCCTAGTCAATGCATCCGGCTTTGCCCCTTGTTTCCCTGGTCTAAATTGAATGACGAAATCAAAACGTGAAAGAAATTCCGACCAACGGGCTTGTCGACGGTTTAATAGCTTTGTTGACATGAAATATTCGAGGTTCCTATGATCGCTGAGGACTTCGATTGGAAATTGTGCCCCTTCCAAATGATGTCGCCACTCCTCAAAACATCGTACAATTGCCAGAAGTTCTTTGTCATAGATTTCGTAGTTGCATTCCGCAGGGGAATGCTTCTTTGAGAAGAAAGCAACTGGATGTAAAATTCCTTCATCATCACGTTGGGACAGGATTGCAGCAGAAACATAGTCGGATGCATCGGTTTCTACTACGATTTTCCGATTCGGATCAAAGTGCGCTAGTATGGGTGCCGTTGTAAACATCTTTTTCAATGTCTGGAATGCTTCCTCCCTTTCATCCGTCCATTCGAACTTAACATTTTTCTTCGTCAAAGCCGTAAGTGGAGCAACAATCTTTGAGTATCCTAGGATAAACCGTCGATAGAAATTAGCGAATCCCAAAAATACCTGAACATCATGAAGGTTCCTTGGTGTAGACCACTCCAAAACATCGACAACTTTCTTCGGATCCATTCGATTCCCATCCGGGGTGAGAATCAGGCCGAGATACTTTGTTTCCTGAACCATAAACTCGCATTTCTCAGGTTTAAGGTGAACATGATTCTCATCAAGTACCTTCAGAACCTTCTGAATATGCTCTTTGTGCTCCGACAGAGTCTCCGAATAGATCAGGATATCATCGAGATATGCCGTTACAAATTGATCGAGGTAAGGACGTAGAATATCATTGATCCAGTGTTGAAATGTGGCAGGGGCATTCGCTAATCCAAACGGCATTACAGTATACTCGAAATGTCCATAACGAGTCCTGAACGCCGTCTTCCATTCGTCTCCCTCGGCTACCCTGATTTGGTTATATCCCCAACGTAGATCCAGCTTGGTGTAGTATTGCGCTCTTGATAACTTGGCCAGGGTTTCCTTTAACAATGGTAACGGATACCGATTTTTGACCGTGATTGCATTGAGACCTCGATAATCTACACAGAGCCGGAGAGTCCCATCACTTTTCTTTACGAACAGTATGGGTGCTCCCGCTGGTGACTCACTGGCCCGAATAAATCCCTTAGGTAGATTTTCATCAAGGTATTCCCGTAGTGCTTTTAATTCAGTCTGCGACAGGCCATAGATGGGTCCATACGGTACTCGTTTACCCTCTTCCAAAATTATTTCAATGTCATGGGACGGTCGATGTGGCGGCAGGACAGAAGCGTCATATTCTTGGAACATATGGAGACGATGGTGGAACTCCTTTGGTACTAGTTGCTTGACGTTGGTAGTGGATTTATCAGCTGCTGAAACGACAACAGTATGATATTCTGGTAAGGGAATCGATACGCCATGAACAGTAACTGCAGTTCCACTGAGTGAACAGTGTTTAAGACAGTCCTGAGAATCAAAAACAAGTAGATTATCCTTTGGCCGAATGGTGACATCGTGACGTCGCATCCACGGTATTCCCATTACGATCGGATAATGTCCCAACTTTGTAACGAAACATGAGGCAATTTCTCGGTGACCATGAATATCTAGTGAAACATTGACAACGTGGGTAATTTCTCCTGACTGGATAGGTCTTCCATCCATAACATCTACCAGGCGAGATTTCTTAAGGGGGGTCATTGCAAGATTGTTGTTGCGTGCGAAAGATTCATCGATAAAAGCATATCCTGATGCTCCAGTATCAATAAGAGCGTAGGTGGAAACGAAAGAGTCGGGATTCTGAGAGACCGAACAGGTAACAACAAGAGAGTCTTCGGACATCTTATCTTCAGACACAGCAGCAACAGGGAGAACAGAAACAGGTGGCGGGGCTGGCCCCTTTGGTTTGCCATTTTTTACCAAAGGGGCTGACCTTTTAACGCCGGCTTTGAGGATCCATTTTCAAGTGGCCTTTCTCGCCAATTGCTAATGGAACGGGGATCTTGGGTGCGAGGAGTCAGGTAACGAGGCTTGGAGACATGGCGAGATTTAACTGTAGCGGTAGAAACGGAGATACGAGAACGAAGGTCAGCGATGGTGGCATTGGCTTGGGCCTCCCAGGCCTTTGCAACAGAGGTAATGTGAAGAATTTCATCTTCAGCATTAGCGAGGTTTTCGTCAGTGATGGCGAGGTTTTCCTGATGTAATGCCAGACGATACCGAAGCTCCTCCTCTTCGGCTTTAGACTCCTCCAGCTCAATCTTCAAAGCAACGATAACCTCGTCGCGACCTCGGATGATCTCGGTAGAACCTTCCTGGTTATCGCACAAGGTTTGCCAAAAATCGGCAGCCTTTTCGTTGGCTGCTTCTAGTTCTATGGTGAGGCTGGTAATAACCTCTTCCTGGGCCGTATCAATAATGGGTTCTGGTGGCGTGGGGGTGTCGAGAGGCTTGTTGAGAGCCTCCAAACACTCAGCAATAAGACCATGAGCCTCGGTAAGTTCTTCGCCGAAGTCTATATCGGCTGGAAGAGGACCATAGGTGATCAGAAATTCTGAAAGACGCTGTAACAGCGTATCCTGGATAATGTCGGACATAGTCGCGACCAGAGCTAAGCGAGGCGGTGTTGTATTGGTTGGCTGTAGAGGATGCAACCTAAGTGTAACGGGGACTGAGGACGTAGGAACTATGAAGCCAAGGAATACAACCGAGGCGAAGACGTGGACGTAGGAGGTTCGTAGACTATGGACTATGGACTATGGGGCCGAAGGGTACACCTAAGGCAAGAACGGGGACTGTGGACTATAGACTATGGATGGTTGTACCTGGTCTAGTATACCGGGTAAACCCTGTGACGTAGCGCGAACCAAATAGTATTCGTAACTGTGAAGTACAGAGGTTGCATAAAGAGAAAAGAGAAAGAAAGAGAAACAAGAAATCACGAGACAACGCCCCCCCTTATATATCCATACCCTATCCCAATGCTGACTCATACCCTCGCGTAACAGAAACAGAAAGAACATAATAGAAACCCGCTTTACTAAACCCAACCACACTGCATTATCCTTCTCCCTTATACCCAGACAACTCACATAGCCAACCCGTCTAGCTGCCGTTACAGGAGGGGCACCGGCTGCCATTCAATCTGAAGGAGTGCATCTGGAGCCGAGAGGGCGGACATTTTGTATAGAGGAAGAATAATCTGAAGGTGATTTGAGCCTTAAAGATTATCTGTAACGGGGGTCTCTTCTAAGAGAAAATAGAATAAGATAGAATAGAGACGGCCGTGCAAGATAGACAATCAGGTTGCAGATTATTCAAAGATACTATCGCTAGAACTCAATAATCTTTAAGGGCTCTGCTACCGATAAGAACTTCGTTTTTCTTCCTGATGAAGACTGGAGAGAATAGGACTGAAGGGCGGGAATGAACCTGAGTACTTATACTCCGAAGGCCTCTGTTCTCTGCTCCTAACTCCTTTACTAAGTTCTGGTGGGCCTTCCCTCAGTACCGGAAACAATACCACCGCTACCCCGCTTTTCTCTAAGCGTCAGCAGGTGTTTCCGATACCCAAGGCAACCACCCTTAGTCAAAGCCTTTGTAACACCTGCAGCCTTGGTTGCCACACAACTGAGGACCTGCATGAATGAGCTGCCGCTCAGGTGTAAGCTTAATCATTGCTGTAGAGCTTTCGCTTATTGTAGACTTCCCTAGCATAGTCCCTGCCCTTCGGCGGACTTACAATGCACCGAGGATACAGAGGATCACCGGTCAATCAGAGCTTCACTCTGGCCGGTCTTCTAGTCACTGGCGAGGCATAGACTCGTCAGTCATTGCTCCCATGAATAGATCCTCTTCCTAGCGCCCGGAATGTAGTTACTCTAACAGCTGGTAGCTAACCACACTGCCGGTACTTGCATATCACCGTGCAACTGGCTTCTAGCAATAACTCTCAGCATGTAACCGGGCCCTGTATGTACTCATACACCAGACAGTTGAAATGGCTCCGTTACACATACTCTGCCAAAGGCAAGAGTTCTGCCCAGTCATCCTGTTGATATGAACAATAACTCCGCAAGTAATGTTCCAGGGTCTGGTTAACTCTTTCTGTTTGACCGTCCGTTTGAGGGTGGAAAGAAGTGGACATCTTCAGCTTCACATTGAGGAGACTCATGAGAGATTGCCAAAAGTGAGAAATGAACCTGCTATCTCTGTCCGAGACTATGTCATCAGGTAAACCATGGAGTCTCCAAACTTCCTTCAAGAACAACTTAGCCAAATCTTCCGTTTTATTGAGGGTAGGAAGAGGGATGTAATGTGCCATCTTCGAAAAGCGGTCCACTATTACCCAGATCTTTGTAAACCCACTAGATTCCGGTAATCCCACAATGAAGTCCATAGAGATGGCAGTCCATGGCCGATAGGGTATCTCCAACGGTTGGAGCATACCAAACTTCTTATGTCTTGAGGTCTTATTCCTCTGACAGCTATCGCAGCTCCGGACATATTCCTCAACATCCTTATCCATGTTGGGCCAAAAGAAGTTGTTTTTCACCCGCTCAAGTGTCTTAAATTGGCCAAAATGACCAGCCACCTTAGAGTCATGGGTATCGGACAGTATTTCCATCTGAAGCTTCTTATCTTTGGGTATATACCATCTATTCTTGTAGAAGATGAGACCGTTCTTGACCGATAAGTTCTGGTCCAAATTTGGTTTCCTTTCAACCAGAGAGCGGTGCAGTTCCTGCCAGAAACTATCCTCTTTAGCAGCCGCATATAGGCGCTCCAAGAATGTATTCTGCAATTGATTCACCCTGACAGCCGCTAGCTTTGCAGGATCCAAAACCAATTGACCTGGCCTGAAAAAGATCTGTGGCTCCGGCTGCAGAGTTTCACCTCCCTCTCCAAGGCGGTGATCCCAGCGCCTAGATAGCACATCAGTCTTGCCATTCTTTTCTCTCGGTTTGTAGACAACTTTAAAATTGTAGCCTGCGAGGTCTTCAGACCATCTAGCTTGCCGCCTAGTGAGAACCTTGGTAGAATTAAAGTACTCCAAGTTCTTGTGGTCTGTAAAAACCGTGATCTCTTGCTCACAAGATTTGAGCATGTGTTTCCATTCCCGGAAAGAGGCTACAATAGCTCCCATTTCCTTATCATGAATGTCATAGTTGATCTCAGCAGGGGAGAACTTCTTAGAATAGAATGCCACCGGATGTAGCTTCCCATCATCCCCATACTGAGAGAGCACCGCTCCCTTGGCAAAATCACTGGCATCTGTCTCGACCACTGTTCTCCTACTAAGGTCAAAATGAAGGAGGATTGGAGCGCTTGTGAACAGCCTCTTGAGTTCTTCAAAGGCCTGCTCATGTACTGCCGTCCAATACCATTTCTTGTCTTTTTGCAGGAGGTCAGTTAATGGTTTGCAAACTTTACTGAAGCCTTCAATAAAGCGACGATAGAAGTTTGCAAATCCGAGGAATGCCTATACTGCCTTGATATTCTCAGGGAGCGGCCATTCCTTAACTGCCTCCACCTTGTCCTCTGACATAGATACTCCATCTTCCGAGATGTGATAGCCTAGGTATTCTACTTCTCGGACATGGAAGGATGTCTTACTGATCGAGGCACAGAGCTTAGCTTCCCTAAGCTTCTGTAGTACCTTTTTGACCAATAGCTCATGTTCTTTCTCAGTCTCCGAGTAGATGAGGATGTCATCAATATAGACAACTACTCCTTCATCCAGTAGTTCCTTTATAACATCATTGATCATTGCCTGAAAAGCGGAGGGAGCATTGCATAGACCAAATGGCATCACATTATACTGATACAGTCCATAGCGGGTTCTGAAAGCGGTTTTCCACTCATCACCTTCTGCTATCCTGATCAAATTGAAGCCGTTCTTCAGGTCTATCTTTGTGAAGATCTTGGCCTTGAACAACCTGTCTCTGAGCTCACTCATGATAGGCAGTGGGTACTTGTCCTTGACAGTGACCTTGTTCAATCCTCTGTAGTCCACACAAATCCGCAATGTCCCATCCTTCTTAGGAATGAACAGTATGGGCGCTGCGGCAGGGCTGTTAGATCTAGAGATCTTTCCTGAAGACAATTCTTTGTCCAGGTACTCTCGGAGGGCCTTCAACTCTGGAGCGGAACATGGGTACAGCGGGCCAAATGGGGGAGCGGTGCCAGGCAAGAGTTTGATCTTTAGATCATTATGGGAATGCGGCGGCATTTCCTCAATCTTCTCTTGACTGAACACATCAGCCCATTCCCGGTAGAGGTGGTGTATTTTTTCAGCAATATCACCTCCGTCCTCATCATGCCATACTGAACCAACCAATTGATAGACTGTCTCTTCTTCTTCCAACATCAGGTATGGAGAGACTAGTTCAATCTTGGTGGCCGCTGGGAGACAATTCTGCTTGCAGTAGTCACTCCTCCAGCTCATGGTGTTGAGTTCCCAATTGATATCCGGGTTATGCTTCCTAGCCCAACTAATTGGGAGGTAACCGGTCATTCCTTCTTCCAGCGTAGCCACCTCCCATCGGAGTGTCTCCTTATGATCTCCCATAGTCATGTGGACTGGGTGAGTGTAATACTCACCTCCTCCCATCATGACATCTCCTTGAGCATCAAACATTGTCAGAGGTTGATCCCGCCGCACTAAGGGAATTCCATGCTTCCTGACAAAACTCTGGTTGAGGATTGCTCCTGTACAACCGGTGTCAAACAGGAAAGACCCTTGGGCGCCTTCATCCTTTCCTTTGACTGTCCATGACAATCCTGCCTTCAGTATAGGTATTTTTCCATATACTGGTAAGGAGGGAAGCCTCTGTTCCAACCTTCTTTGCTTAACAGCGGGTTCTGAACTTGTTTCTCTTTGTCTTTTCAACATAGCTAATAGCTTCGGGCACTACTAAGATCAAAAGATCCTTTGGTTCTATTCCCAAGCGGTAATATAGCAGATGTATTGTATAGTAGTCTTTTTGGCAGCGGTTTGGAAGTGTCTTGGTAGCAAATATAACTTTGGTAGAGCACTGACAGACCAGCTGTTTCGGGTCTTAAACCCATCCTCAGAGTGCTTGGAGCAATCAAATAGGCGGAAAACACAATCATAATTTATTCAAGAGAAACATAGAAACCGAGAAACCCATATAAAAGAAAACTAGTAAACATAGACTTAAACAGGCACTTTTCTACCAGAGGATTTCATTGTCCGAGTCTTGCTCAGGCTGCAAAATGAAATCTTCTGTAACCTCCGGGAGTAAAACAAGTGGATCCTCTGCTACTACAGCAGCCACCTTAGCCTTTTTCTGGGAGTTGGACTTGCCATTCCCTCTTTTCCGCTTTTGTACTCTCATTGCTGTCACTCGGACAACAATAGGTTCCTTGGACCAACAATCGGTCCATTTGTGTCTGGACTTGCCGCACTATTGCACAAGTCAGTCTATGCACTCTACCAATAGGGAGTACCGGAAGGTCATACCTTCAAGCATACTTCTGCTTTCTTTCTTTCTTCTAGAATATCTCCCGGGATACCCTTCAGTTCCACCGCTTTGTCTTTAGGTCCAGGAGTCTTCTGAGGTCCGGAGGAGCT